TGAGTTGGAGTCTCACTCTGTTGCCCAGACTGGAGTGCAGTGGCATGCTCACAGCCACTGAGGTCTCAACCTGCTGAGTTCAGGTGATCCTTCCGCCTCAGTCTTCCAAGTAACCAGAACCACAGGTGCGCGCTACCATGCCCGGCTTTTTTCTTTAGATTTTAAGTCCTTCAGAAAGTGGCACAAACCAGGATGCGCTCTGCAGAGTTCCAGACTCTGGGAGACTCAGTGAGGCTGGCTGTGGGCGGGTGAGGGGCCGGGATGCCTGGTCTCGCCCCGGCTATCTCTGAGGGGACAGGGCCCAGGGATTCGAGTTCTGGGTGGCCTTGGGATCCCCCCCAGCCCTGTGTCCTCTTTGATGTTGAGAGATGCAGTCCTCCCTTCCAGGCCACCACCGAGGGAGCCCAGGGTCACTCGTGCGCGGCTGTGACTTGCAAAAGACAGGGCTGCTGGGAGGTATGGCTGCATCTGGTTATGCGGATAAGGACGGAAAGGTGACCGTCCCACCGGGTCAAGAGGGAGGTCGAGGCCAGCAAATCTGAACCACAGCGCCACAAAAGCAAAGCAGTCCTCGCGAGCCTGGGTGGCTTCCTCCCCACACCGGAGTCAAGTCACCGACTTAGACCACAGACAGGCTGAGGATGGGGCAGAAGATGGGAAGGGTGGGCCGGACACTCTGGGAGGCTGAGGTGGGAGGACTGCCTGAGCCCAGAAGGCCGAGACCAGTCTGGGCAACATTGCCAGACCTCATCTCTACACTAAGTAAAACGATTAGCTTTTACTTAGTGTGGTGGTGCGCACCTGTAGTCCCAGCTACTGAGGAGGTGGAGGCGGGAGGATCGCTTGAGCCCTGGAGGCGGAGGCTGTGGAAGCTATGATGGTGCCACTGCACTCCAGCCTGGGCAACAGAGCGAGACCCCAACTCAAAAAAAAAGGGAAAAAAATAGGGGGACATTGAGAGGGAGACAGAGAGAGAGAAGGAGGGGGAGGGAGAGACAGAGACACAGACAAAGGGAATGGGGAGAGAATACAGCAGGTAGAGAGAAAGGACAAAGTCTGCACCAGGTGAGGGAGGGTTGGCCCCCGGCGGGGTCCCCACCTCCCTCTGGCACTGGAGGCCCACCTCAATTTCTCCACAGACCACCTGGCCTGGGTGGACTTTTCCTCCTGCCAAGAGCCCATGAAGGCAAAGAAGCCCAAACCAGGAGTCCCACTGCCCCTGCTGGATGGTGCCCAAGGATGCCCTCACCCGCAGGGAGGGGCGAGTTTCCGGGCACAGGGCACGGGCTGGGGGGTGAGGCCACAGGGGGCTCCAGTCCCCGGGGCCGTGAGCCTTCCAGCTCCCAGGCCTCGGAGACATCGCGGCTCAACGAGCGTCTCTCCCGCCCAGACCGCCCGCGGGGCCACCGGCTGGGGCAGACCCGTGGGGACACGGATGCGGGCCTTGCTTAGCAGAGGTCCTTGTCCCTTGCTGGTCCCTCTAGAACGGAGGCAGTGGGGGCAACAGGTTTGTCTGGCCCTTCTCGCCCTCCGTGCCCCGAACAGGGCTTGGGACAGAAGACGGGTTTTCAGTAACTGTTGAGTGAATGAACGGGTGACCGAGGGTCAGTCCTCACCCCGAGTAAATGCCCGCCACGACCTCAGCAGGGCCCTCTCAAGGGTCTCAGCTGTCCCTGGCCCCCGGGGCCCAAGCCGGCCCGCTCACACAGCCCTCGGCGAGGCCCTTGGCAGCCAGGGTTAGCTCTGTGGAGGTGTGCCGTCACCGCGGCCCCGGAGGAAGGTGCTGGTCCCAGGGGCCCCCACCCCGTGTTTGTGATCCCACGGTCAAGCCCACGGTTGTGGCCCCTCAGCCTCCGCCCCGATCCGCCTCCTGCTTAAACATCCTGGTGCATCCCTCCTCCTCCCCAGCCCCCAGTCAGCACAGGGAGATGTCCTTGAGGTGTCCCTGGCTGTGCTTTCCTTTCTGTCCCCTGAAGTGACTAGGGACAGGAACTTGGGGCTCCTGTCACTGGTGGGAGCGAAAAGAGAAGCCATGACTGTGTCATCGGAGAGGCAAGCGCTCAGGACCAGGCCTGAAGTGGAGGAGACGGGGAGGGTGCCAAGGTCTCCAAGGCACCGAGTCAGATCCAAACGCTGGTCTGACCCTCCCTTCCTCCCTTTCTTCCATCCATCCATCTAGTACCTGCCCATCCAGCATCCATCATCTACCATCCATCCATCATCCACCCATCCAACCATCCATCCATCTATCCATCCATCCTACCATCCATCCATCCACCCATCCATCCATCCATTCACCATCCATCACCCGCCATCCGTCCTTCCATCATCCATCCACCCAAACATCCATCCAAACATCCACAACCCCTCCATCCACCGATCCATCCAAGTATCCATCCATCATTTATCCGTCCGTCCATCCATCCACCATCCATCATCCATCCATCCATCTATTATCCATCCATCCATCATCCACTCATTCATCCATCATCCACCCATCCACCCATCCACCCATCCATCCACTCATCCATCCATCCATCCATCCAACCATCCAACCTTCCATTCACCCATCCATCCATCCATCCATCCATCCAACCATCCATGCATCCAACCAACTATCCATCCATCCATCCACTCATCCATCCATCCATCCATCCACCCAACCTTCCATCCAACCTTCCATCCATCCATCCAACCATCCACTCATCCATCCATCCATCTATCCAACCATCCATCCATCCAACCAACCATCCATCCATCCAACCAACCATCCATCCATCCATCCAACCTTCCATCCACCCATCCATCCATCCATCCAACCATCCATGCATCCAATCAACCATCCATCCATCCATCCACCGTCCATCCATCATCCACCATCTGTCCTTCCATCATCCTTCCACCCAAACATCCATCCAAACACCACACTCATCCATCTACCACCCTCTCCCACCTATCCATCTAACTGTCATTACTCTCTGACTACCCACATGGACCAGGCCTTGTGTCCACTGTTAGGACATAACATTACAAGGGGTGGGGGGGTCAGCATTCCAAGTGGAAGAATCAGCTGGGCCTGACTAAACCTAGAGCCGTGTTTGCTGGGCTTGGCAAACACAGCAGTGCCCAGGAAATATTTCTTGAATGAATAGGCGACCGAATGAGATAGTCCTGGTACTGTTGGGACCCTCAGCCAAGTGATTTTGGACCAGAAAGGCAGCCAAGTGCGGCGAGAGCAGGGGGCGGGGGATTAGGGTGGAGGGCCTGTGGCCTGGAGAACTGAGCTGAGCCAGAAGG